GCATTTGTTTACTTAAATTTAGGAAAAAAAATTCGCTTTTGCTGTGTGTGTGTGTTTATGTGTTTGTGCTAAGGTTAATTATGTGCCTAATGCAATTTAAATTCATAATTAATGAATAATTAACAAAAACAAATCAATTTTATAACGCACTGAAGGAAGCATCAAGAAATTTTTGCTGCTAGGATATTGTGGATCCGCTTCGGGTTTGTGTACGGGTTTCGTTGTGTTTGGATCAAAAGTCTAACTATTGCATCTACTCTTGTTGTTGTTGTTGTTGTTGTTGTTGTTTTTGTTCTTGAAGCTAGCAAAGAACGATCTTATCTATGAAAAAGTGAGTTCAGCGGTATTTACAATCGAATCAAGACTCTACAATATATATATATGCATATATATACATAGACTTATATAACTCTGAGTATGTGTGAGCATGTGTGTGTGTGTGTGTGTGTTTAGTTGAAGTTCATTCAGTTTTTAGCTTAGTTTTAATCTTCTATTTTTATTTTCATTTTCATAGAGCGCAATTCTTATTATCGGATCACTTGAAGCAATTTCATGGAGTTTTTTTGGTCGCTTTATGTGTGTGGCTGTGTGTGTGTCTGTGTGTGTGTGTATGTATATATGTGTGTAGTAACTGTTTGCATCTACATGGGAATATTTGCTTGTTGCCCTGTGTAAATTGTATAATTTTATTTTTGGCATTTAATTAAATTTTGTATTCTCGTTTTTTTTTTTTCTTTTTTGTATGTTTTTTGTTTTGTTTTATTTTTAAATCTGAAATATAAATAAATTTCAAAATGAATTGATTAGTAGGGCACATCAAAGGGCAAAAGGCATTAACTTAATGGTTCAGTTCAGAGATGAAACAGCGCTAAAGAGTGAAAAACCAAAAGCTAACGCGATAAATGCGGATAAAACTCAACAAGTCCAAAAGGGCCGGGGCGTATACGCAACGTACTACGCAATAAACAAGGTGAGAGCAGGTGTGTGCAATAGCCGAACAGGGAATGCTCTACACTGGGCAGGTATAACAGTAATCAGAGCAAAGAAATTACTATTTCGATATGAAGAAGGATGTTATTTGTAATAATAATATACTCTGCAATAATAGTAATAGGTCATACATATTGGTATGGTTTGTATCTTGGTCGGATCACTATATTAAATATATATTTTATGGGAAATATCGTTGGCAAATGCAGATCCTAAATATTTGTAGCCTCTAATATCATTATCTCGATATGAATTGTATTTTCACTATGGTATACTTTAACTGCCTCATTTTCTCTCACTCTCCCAACCTCTCCCTCTTACTCTCCATCTTTCTTTCTATCTCTCTCTCTCTCTTTCGCAGCATAAATGGTCAACGCAAAGTTGTATTGCATGCATTGTTGTAGATTAGACGGGCTTACGGGGTAGCTACTAGTCGAATATACCCAACAAGAGCTGTCTGTCCAAGCGTGTGTACGTATCATACTCTGTTCCCAAAGGTAAGAAAGGGCAGGTTAGTTGTTTATATTATTGATATAGAGTCAAAGGTGTCTCATGAATCTATACAATTTTAATAATGAATTACAGATTTTTATCATAAAGTTAAAGAATATATGTATAT